AATACCTAATATTTTACAGTGAGTTTAATGAACAAGAGGGCAGGAAATGCAGAGGAAAACCAGTCTCTCAGATGCGTTTTCTTCCGGAATATGATTACTGAACATGTGTTTTCTTTCAAGACTCCAAAGGAAGTGGAGCATTTCTGTTTTAATTTCTTGAGTCTTTGACCCCCTGAGTGCAAGGATTCATTTTTTTGACATTGTGATTGAAGTTTCAATTGCATTTTCAGGTTATTAAATAGGAAACATGGCTTGTAGGCTGTATTAGCATGATACCGTCTTGTTTAGGTAAAGAGGTGTGACTGGATGTAAACATGACTAATGAAGGCCATTTTAAAACTCACAATGGGGAAGAAAGCTAAAGCCCTAAAGCCCAACACACAGAGGCTGTCCATATGAAGGGCAGAGGACTACATTATATTGCTAAGAATTGTGATCAATAGTTGTGCCTCAGAAGCAGTCACATGAACATGAGGCTCCATAGTGGCAAAATAAAGAAAATAAGAACAGAGAAAAACATTTCCTCCAAATGCAGCTGAGATAGGTGCACAGACAAGAAGATTCCCCCATATCTGCACCCACAGCAGAAGGACCCCAACAAGGGCCATTCTGAAAGGAGACCCCTCCTTGTACTCAGCCTTCTGGATACGTAGGAAATGTGGAGTCCAGCTGCCTCAAAAGGTTAAGAATGTCTGAAGGCCTTTTGAGTTTGCTTTCCATCTTGGTTTAAAAAGGGATGCCCAAACTGCGAAAAATAACATGGCAAACCTTATTACTGAATGTTACTGTGAAGTCAGAAGCAAGTGAGAGCACGAGCAGTGAGTTTCAACTTTCGTTAAGACTGGCCCTCTCGTAAGAAAAGCAATTTGGGATGGAATGAATGGAATGGCATGATGAGAAAGACAGCAGAGCTTGAGTCAGCAGTGTTATGCTACCCCAATTTTCTAAGTTGATGAACAAAGAGTAGACTACTGGAGCCATCAGGAAGCAGGGCTAACACTTCACCTTTGTCAGAGTTTTGTGGTACACAGCTCTGGGAGGGCACTGGCTAAAATCAAGAATAGAGGAAGAAGGCTTCCCAACACATTGTTCATTAGCGATCCCCCTCATCACTCCAGAAACCATGAACACCTTGTTCTGATTTCCTTGCAAGTAGTCCACACACAGAAATCAATGCAATACGTATCAAGTGTTGTAGTGCTTCCAGTATGCCTCCAACCAAGAAGGTACTAACGTGAATATAGACAATCTGGTTAAAAGATAGAAACACCATGAATAAGATTCTTTCAAGGAATAAGAGTCTGCTAAGTCAAGCTCTACTATCAGGCAACCTGTAATAAGTAAAGCTAATTAAAATAAAATTTGTCAAAAATGAAAACATGTGGTCTCTTTTGTGGACAGTTTTCAAGTTTTAAAATAGTTGGCCACCATGGTTAATACTATCCTAAATGCTGCCAGTCTTCTCTATTCAGGGGCCATTGTACTTTTTGTCATTGCTGTTGGGATGAGCCTTTCAGCTTTACAGGAGAAGGGCACTATACCTTATATCCTACTTCAGTTTAGACTGAAAGAAGGTTCCAGTTAGTGGTCAGTCAGTTCAGTGCCCAAAACAGACAATAAGAAGTTTTGATTGTATGTGTTTGAAAACTCTGATACACAAATGTTATTAAGTCCAATTCTCTGTGGTGCATCAGGGATCTAATCAGGCCACTAAATGACTCTTTGTGTGAGATATAAGTGAATAAACACAGAAAGGAAGTACAGTTCCTACTGTGCATTTTTTACTACCTGAGACTGCTTTGGAAGCCGCAAAATAAGACAGATTCACTAAAGACCAGCCAAATCATTTTGCGCATAATGTAAGTACTATTTGTGTCCAGATCTCCATAGATTAAGTATTTCTGTTCCAGCCCATGGATTGTACCTATCTAAAAAAGTATTTATAGCTTGAAAATGCATTCACTTCTTTTGTCTTTATGAGATAAATCTCTACCACACTGAAGCCGAAACGATTGTTCAAACAGCTTTGACGCTGGCTTGTGCACTGGTTCAAATCTGTTGAGCCAACTGGCTCACCAACCGGGGAGTTTCTACCTTTAGGTTTTGGTTAATATGTTGGAAATGTTTGTGTATTTTTTTTTCTTTGTTTGTCTCTGCCATTTACTTTTTCTCCCCTTCCCTACCCACTTTTATTTTTTTTTCATTTTCCTGCCTTAGAACATCCACTCTAATCCTGGACCATACAATGTCCATGTAGTTGAGAATTTTGTTTGTCTTTGTTAATTCCTGTTGTTACTATATTCCACTTCATCCAGACTTAATCACATACTTATGATGTAGTCAGGATTTAGGATAAGAACCAGCATTGAAATCAGCATAATTTTACTGTAATGAGACTTTAGTGTGTTAGCCTTGAACTGTAGCCCTCAAAAGTTCAACCTTATTTTTCGGTGACTCTTTTCCTTCACGCTGGTCAGGTGGCACGAAGCATTGGATCCGGGTGTTCTTTGGAATTACTTAAAGAGATGAACAGAATATATTACTTTTAAGTGGACCATGAATAGCAAGACAATGCAAAAGTTTACCATTCCTGTTGATGTTTACTCCAAACATGTACAGAGGCTTCAGATTTCAAAATAATCTGTGCAGTAAGTACAAGGAAGTGGACACATGCTACTAATGAATGGCACAGAGAAACAGGGCTCACATATAATTCTCATTGGAGAAAACAGCCTGGAAATAATATTAAGACTATGACTAGTGGACAAAAGCCACAGATGCAAAACTAAGGCCAGCACTTTCTTCTTAACCTGGAGCTTGGTGAAAAAGAATTCTTCCTCCTTTTTTTTTAAACATAGTTTAGAAATTTAAGAGACATGGTTAAGTCAGATTTAAATATAAAATATTTAATCTCAAATATCTTGACTCTTTATTTTGCAAAATAAACTAATTCCTAAACTTTGATTCTTACTATATCATATCTAAATTATCAACATCCAAAAAATGCCCACTCATTTTCCATACTCATGCTTTTTTAAATTCAGCCACTTTTCTCATTTGTTAATAGCACAAAACTACATCTTGCACTAACAGTTTTGTGCTACAATGTGTAGCACAAGCATTTGTTAATAACTGAAAAATGTAACTTCTAGCGTCAGTAAATTAAACAGTGAACTTTAAATGTAATGAGTTATCTTATTACTTTTAATGACTCTTTCAATACAGCTAAAATGATGATTGACACAGAATGTAGTGGTAGATATTACTACCCAAGCTAAGTTCACATATACAAGCAGGAGAAAAATAAACAAACAAAAAAATCTCTCCTACTACACTGTGACCTTATCTGAAAGCCTGATTTCTTTGGCAATGATTCAACCACCTAATAAATGTTGTCAGACATAATTTTAAAAAATACTGATTGATTTTACCCTATGTTTTATACCAAATTTGTTCTTTGAAACTTGAAACTGCAGATAGTTCATCAACTGATATGTTGTCTTAGCTCCACAGAAAGCAATGCCATTTTCTGTCAAAGGATCAGCCCCTTTCATCTACTAATTTTATAAATATATTTTTATTTAATTTTTAATGCTAACATTTTAAAGAGATCCCATAACCTTTTGCAGAACAGTAGCACTAGTGAGGAACTCTCTACTATAATCCAGAACAGTCCACAGCATATGGCTTAGAAGAAATATATTTACTACCATTTACTCTCCATCCTCACACTTGGTCTAATAAAGACACTACCACTCCCTGCAGCCTTGGCATGGCTTCTTTCTTAATGGCCTTTTACAGAGATATTTGAAAGAGTTAAACAGTGAGACATCTCTAGCACTGCTATAAAATAATCTGAGAAAATAGTTATATAAAGAAGTGTATAAACTGTGAAAATAACGTTCTTTATTATTATTATTGTTATTCTTTATTATTGCTTTTCTTTGTTTTGATGCCATTTAAAAATAAATATTTTTAGATGTTTTTATTACATTACAATCTATGGTGACGTTACAACCTGACTAAATTTGCCAGGTGGCATTCTAAAGCCAGATATTTTTATAATTTTCTGTGACAAAGAAAAAGGTATTAGAAATGCATATACCAAACAAACTTCTGAAAGCAACTTTCTTTTCATATAGTTCACTGATCTGATTCTTCCTTTATTCACACTTACAACAACATAAATATTTGCATTGCTTCACTCTTAGATTAAGAAAAAAATACCCTGTTTTAAAAGGGGAAAAACATTCCAGATGTCACAAGTGAGAAGAAAATAAAATTTTTCTGGAAGATCAGCAGCAAAGAGTGAAAGTGCTTATTTTGTTATTCTCTTTGCTGCTCACCCATATGGGCTTTTCACCTCCCTGCAGTAGCTGTTGCTGTCTCCTCAGCAAATATGGGGTGTAGCTGGTAACCTTTACTGTAGATTGAATCAACCTAAAAAGGTTTCCCAAGAAAGAGACATTGCCACAAGTTTTTAGCATCTAAGCACAGCCACAGAAGGTCAGTGTTCTCAGTACACATGCGGTCTGTAGAGTTTCCTGATTAATACTGCATGCATTGACACACGTAAGATTAACATTCTGTGCACCAATACTGTTAAGAAATTTACTTGTATGTCTGTACTGTTACAAATGCTCACAATGCCATGGCCAAATTCAGCATGTGTTTTTAAATAATATGACTGCTGGCTTTTAAAATATGTAATTATCAGTATGTTTTTTACCTTCCTGGACATGCCACTGAAAGTGTTTTAAGAGGTAGCTTTGCAGTTTGAAGTGGTTTTGAATAGCAATGTATGCAAGCAAACAAAAGTGAAATTTAAAACTTTCATACAGAAGTTTCTAAATCTCTGCCACTCCAAAGTATTTTTTTAGTTTGATTTCTGACATCTGAGCACTGTACTAAGTGTTGAGAATCTGAAGCCTTTGCACCATCAGTCAGGAGAGTTGACATTTGTATGAAGAAGGAAATAAATAGAAAATGGCTTTTCCCAGTTACATCAACACCTGCGTTCTTGTGTCAGGAAGACGAAGTCCTACCAGACCTCCACATACTAGAACAGTAGAAGCAAGGAGAATAGGGATTGCTTTGGTGATACCAACAAGGGAACCGAATATTAAGTTTCCAAGTACAGCTGCTGCTTTGCATAGTGCATTCAAAAAGCCAAAGCCTGTTGCCCTGGAAGAGAAAACAAAAAAAAGTTAAAAAAATGGCTGAAAGAGTAAAGCCTTTGAGATAAATCCTCAGTGGGAATAAAACAGTATAGCCCCAATATCTTAAACAGAAATTTTGCCAACAAGGATTATGTGCTTATCTTTATAATATGAAATCAAAGTTCAGCTGCTACGTTTAATTGAGGGAAATTCATTCTGCTGTCTCAGGGACCAAAATCTGATATGAATGACTGAATAGGTATCTTTACACCTCTACACCAGAGCAAAGGACTTACAAATGGAAATTCAGTAACACTTAAAATGCTGGATTGGGAGATGAGAGCTACTTGGTGATTTGGGAAAGAAGTCACCAGAATAAAAGGATTATCATCTTGGGGTACTGAAAAGAAAAAGATTTCTCACAGGTGGTATATGTGTTTAACCAGTGCTTTTTCAAAGGCTTATGAGACCTCCAATAATTATGAATGTTTGTCTCTTAGAGCTAAAGACAATAGGGCATTAAAAAACCTGCTTGGTGCAGCAGTGATATTTGAGAAACTTTTGAAAAATGCAAAGGAAATGGACTGCCAACAGAAAGTATAACTCAGGCAACTCAGAGGGGCTTTTGCATTGCAGTGGTGTGATTTTAATAGTCTGGATTAAATATTTCAGATATTTGGTAACCCATGCGTAGATGTATTATGCAAACTGCCATCATTTTATTAAATCTGGCTGCTGGATCTCAACAGTGTTGTTCAGTCACGCCCTTCGGTGTCCTGTATCCAAGTCATACTGAGGCAGAGGTAAAATCTTCTCTCTAGTATAGTTGACCAAGGTATAGGGGGTTTCAGCACTGTCCATGCCTTGACTATCTGACATGGTGTTCTTCAGATTGTACTGGTCCTGGTATATTTGAGGACCTGCACCAAAAGAATGATGAAGGTAGGTCTAGGTCCTTCTGGTATGTTTCTAAATAGCTCTAGTTTGCTCTGAGAAGTAGAACCCTTCGGTAGTTAACCCACAGAGTGGACTCCAGAACCTGAACAAGATTCAGAAGTGTGTTAATTTGAAGTAATATTTTGACTGTTGAATTCTTAAATCAGTTAAAAGGATGTTTGCAGAACAGAATTAAGACATGGAACAGACTAGTTAATATACCTCCAAGAAGGCTTTTTTTTTCTTTTAATGTTATATATTTGTTTGCCCATGGTTGCAGACCAAAGTCAAACCTCTTTGCCTAAAACATTATGAAAGTCAGAAGAGTTGATACTTACTGTTCCAGTGTCAGCTCTGTGTAGTATATGCCTTTTCTGACCCCAGAACAAGACACAAGTTAGTCCCTTTTGCTAAGTGTTTATAATAATGATAAAGTTAATAATAGTTTGGCTATGTGTCTCTTGCAATTCACCGCAGTGTTTTGACATCTTAAAAAAAAAATCTGAGATTTATCAAAGTAATTATTATTTTGCCTGAAGTAAGCATAATTCCTCTTTGTGCAAAATATGGCACCCATCCAGATATTGCATGACAGTAAGTATCAGTGATATCTAAGGAAGGAGAGACAGGTCATTCTGATGGCAGAGCACAAACTATCCAGAAACACTGTGAACAAACAAACAGAAAAGACTCAGATATGACTCCTGAATGTTCAACGCCCTTGCTTGTTTCTTTTTTTTCAAAATTTGATTAAACTTGCAGTACTTTTACATAATACTTAGTGCCAAAAAAAGGTAAACATGCAGATCCTGGAGATGATAACCATCTCCAAAGTGGCATGCTCGGCTGTTTGACAGTGCAGACCAGTTAGGGCTGCCTGAGAGAATAATGCTGAGAACAGATGAAGAAACTTTGGAAATGTTGCTTGTGAAGCTTTCTGACAGAGAAAATGCCATCCTCAGAGGGGGAACAAAAAAAGTTAAAACTTGCCCATTTCAAGGTAGACTTTTGGAGGAATCAGTCCAAAGGAGGAATGGGAGATGCACTGAAGGAAGCAGTGAAGAGCCACCGTACTGGAGTAATCTTTCAAAGCCTGTGAGAAGAAGGTCAGATCTCTACCACAGAAACATAAGTACTACAAGGCCAAATAAAGTAGAACACCAGAAGAATATATGGAGGAAGCTGAGCAGAACAGGGGGAAGCTCCTGAGAGGGAAGGAGCTCCAGACTGCTGCATCTTCTAGGGTAAACAAGAGTCCAAATGGAAAGGAGGAGCATGAAGAGGAAATACTGTGGTAAAATAGACTTTATAGCAAACAGGTAGGAAGAGGTTAAAGACAACACAGCCAGCCCGGAAAACAGAGTTTATGTGATAGGATTATAACAAGCTGCAGGTATTTTGAACAAGTCAGGGGAAGAAGGAGAGGAAGAGTCAGAACTCTTCTAGTTTCAGCCTCTTTCATGCACAGAAAGTATTTCTAAAGTTACGGTGGTGACTAGTTGTGATCAGTGTCTGCACATGTAAATATGATTTCTTTGGCTGCCAGTAGTGATCTAAAACCAAACTCACTTCCAAATAACAGTAACAGGAAAAAAGCAGTGTTCACATAGAGAAAACAGACACTTAGTAATCAACAGACGCAGTATATTCAGAGAGATACCAGAACTCCCTGAAGAATACGTAGATCTAGCTAAAGTACACTTGTATAGATACAGGCAGGAAATCTTTGGAAAGGCAATAGCACAAAACGTATGGGGATGCTTAACTTAGATTCACTGTTGTTTTATACTGTTTTATAAAGGTAAGCTGTTTCACAGATGCTATTTACTTACATTAACTGGTTGTAACAGGGCTCTGAACATAATTTTCTGAGCAATTTGGACCATTTCTTTTGATGTGCTGGGCTCTACAGATAGCACCTTCAGGGCTGCCACTGTGATGTAGATCTATTGTAAATTATATACCCAAGACTGCCTTATTAAGGTTTAAAGTAATTTTGTAATATGATATTTCTTATATCTGAGCAAAAATAAGGTGATTCATTGTCATTGAAACACCAGTTCTGCTTTGTAAAATGGACTCATTCAATTTTTTTCTGGTTGTAAAATCACTAGACTAGTCCCGTTAATGTTATCAAATAATAAACAAAAAAGAGTAAGACAAAGTAAGCCTGTTTTTGTTGCCTTTGTCTGTCCTGATGATTAAAAATGAACAACTCAGCAGAAGTTCAATCTCTGATCTTTAAGCAGTTTTCGGGCATGTCTTTTTGCCTAAAATATGCACATCATTGGCAGGAACAGTAAGATTTTTACAGGCTTAAGTAAAATGTTTTTGCGACCTGTACCTGAAAAATATTGTCACTGTCCAACCTTCTGCCTTCACATCCTTCAGTTTTAGTACCATGTTTGAACATGAATTTGTTGTGTGCTAATAGTTGGAATGAAGTCACTGAACAAACTGTTGAACTCTAGGGACAGCAAATTCAGACTTGCTGGTTTTTAAACATCTTTCTTAGCACAGTGTTTGTGATTCAGATCTGCTAAAATCTGTGCTAATTCATGCCTTTATAATTAATTCAAATGAATCCAGAGGAGTGAAAATAGCAGGCAATAAATATGCTGAAATGCACATAAATACACAAGCATAGCCTTCTCTTGCAACACTAGTACAGTCTTTGCTACAGTGGTTCAGAAAAGTGCTAGAGTGTACAGAAACCTGCAAATGATCAAAAATGTGTGATGTGTCATCTCAGCATCATGAATGAATTAAGTGAAAAAAATCCAAAAGCATAAGGCCATTACTGTATACACCAATTTCCATTATGTTGATCAGTTAATGGGTGAAACACTGCCACAAAAATGTCTTTTTGACTCCATGAGCAATCCTTATTGTCAGTCAGGGGAGTCTGGTAGCAAGAATCCCTTGTCCAGCTAGAGAATGTCAATAAATCCTTCAGGCATGTCAGTAAGATAATGCTGGTGAATCAATTTGGGATTGCCTTTACAAAAAATAAAGTTACAGGTTTTAGTATTGACAGGAGAAAATGCAAAAATCCTGTAAAAGTGTTAGGTCTGAGAGAAAGCTGAATGTTAGAGAAAAGGAATTTTGCCCAATTTATTTTACTTCTGTTTCTGGGAAAGCTGTGACAAAGAAAAACACTTAGCTTCCTTTCACCCAAGCTCCACGTGAAAATGGCACAAGTCCAAACAGCTAAAAATAGAGGGATTATCCAAGCTTTTAGATTAAAAGAGCTTGTGTCCTGGTTGTCACATAGGCTCATTCTTAGACCAGGTATACATAAACTACTTCAGGCCCACTTTTCCATTGCTGATAGACAGAGCATCTAAAAACTTAGTTGTCCTGCAGTGAAGTGCTATTGAATGTGTGGCACAGAGAGTGATACTGAATGTGTAGCACAGACATTTGATAACCTTCTTGCCAGAGCTAGTGCTGAGCCTGTCCAGCACTTTACAAAAACTCTGAATATCACTTTTGTGAGTGTTGATAATATGCAAAGGCTATGAAAACAGAGTTTCTGAACGTACTGCAGACAATTTTCTTATGTCCAGACCTTTTCTGATCTTCTTAAAAATGAGTACAAAGACACATATTGTAGCCTGGACAATTACAGCACTCAGTGTGCAAATAAAACCGTGGAATTTACCTTCCCGCTTTAGACTACTGCCTAATGCGCTGCATAGGTTCAGCATGTCACAGCTTAAAAACATTAACAGGAAATTTCAGCAAGATGCTGTTGAACCACATCCACAGTATGGCAATAGAAAAGAGCTGTCAGGAAGTCTACTGTAAGTTGATGACTGCTGTTATGACTCAAAGGAATAGAAAACTTACCTTCTGACCACCACAACAATAACAAGTTGGACTTAAGATACCCTGTGAATAATGTTTATTATTCTGGGGATAGATTCTCAGGGCTTGAGAAGAAGAGAAAAAGATAAATATAATGAACTGAAAATAGATGACCTATTTCTTAATTATAACCAAACCCTTATGAGCTTATTTCTGAGGTATTAAAAAGAGGCAAAACAGGATGATTTCATTTTATAGCACACCTTGAATTCTAAATATTCCTGGCCAAGATTCAAACCCAGATGTCTGGCAGCCATAGTAGAAGTGGTGAATTGTTGATTGTCTGATGCAATTTTGATTTACTGTGCAGGAGATGACCTGTTCTGATTCCAGTGTTCTGTTTGCCTTATTTGTTGTATCCACTCCTAGGCTTATAAAGTTGGTGTTTCCCAAGTTAGTTCACAAGAAGATATTTATCATTTATGTGAAAGTAACAATTGCATTTTAGAGTTATAAAAATCTCCTAAATGTTACTTCTTCAGAGAATTTTAACTCTCTTCCATTCATATTTACATTACGGGCAGAGCTTGGAAACTGTGCAATGTTATTGCAAGCCCCTTGGCCACACACATTATGACACAAGCCATAATTACCTCATCACACTATATTTTTTTTTCTGCATCACTCTGCCAATGTACAGAACAAAGAGAGCTTGAGGGATAAAACATAAATGTAGAGAAGAAAACTTGATTTCCCTCGTCTACTGCAGAAGTCAGAAGGTGCAGACTGAATAAGGTTGGGGGCTGCAAGATGAGAAAGCAGAGTCTTGTGTTTGAGGTATTTTAGTGCTATCAGGAGAAAGGATATAATCCCTGCCACAGAATTCCTATATGATGCTAGCAAGTCACTTAAAGTTACCTGATCAGTCATTAAGTATGCATTTCACATTTTCTGAGTGCTCCGTTTAGCACCTTCAGGTTTGTGTTGCTGAAGTGCTGAGCACTTATACCTGCAGTGGGAGTTACACTTTCAGAGCATTCCCTCTTCTAAATCACTCAGTTTCTGGGATTTTTGGTACCACATGTGTAAAATCAGGCACCTAAAGCAGTATTTGACAATATCTTTTTCCTTTCTGCCCTGATTCCTACATCATCTCCTTTCAAAGCAGTGTTTAGAAAATATGGAAAGTTTATGAAAGAGTAGGAAAGTACTGTAGGGTCACTCAAAAATTTTCTCTCCTTCAGAGCAGAGCTTTCACAGCTATGGAATAATTTGATTTGGCTCTCAAGAGGGTCACTATCAACCAAAGACTTTTCAGAAGCAGGTCCAGAATAGTGCAGGCCATTAAGAAGGTAAGCCAAAAGACAAGAGAAGAGATGAGACAAAAGATGAGTTAATACAAGTCCTTTATACTGTGCAGCTATAGTAATTTACTTGCTTATTGGAAATTAGCTAGTTGATAGTTACTCATCATAAGTTTCCTTTAAAATTTGTGTATTCAAAAGTTAAAAAAAAAAATTATTAAATAATTATTCGTTACCACCGTATGTATCATTTGGAAGACAGAAACCTACTTATGTCCAGGATTGGTAATGTAGCTTCACCTTTTAACACAACTTTGTTATCTACCTGTGAACTATTTGAAATCTATACAGTCTCTAACATCTCTTATTTTAGCAGTTGTGCAAATCAACTGAGATTTTATACAGAATATGCAGGCAAAAGCTATGCTTCTTTGGCATAAAATTTAAAAGTACTCATCAAGAATTTAGGACAAGCTATTTAATTACCTCAAGTCCAGGCATTAGTAAATTAAAATATTAATAAGCAGATGAGTGTGAATCCAAATCTGTTAAGATTTGAAAGCAACTTTAACTCTGCCCTGTGGGCAGCTGATAAAGAGGAAACTGAAATGTGTCCTATATATCATATGCACTGCACATTTCCAAATTGCTCGCCACACCCCTATGTGGCAAAAAGCCAGTATGATTCTTAAATAACCTGGAGTACGATTTATGAAACACCTTTTGTATTACCCTGCGTGACACCGGCAAAGCCCTAGCGGTTTGGCAACTGGCTGGTCTCCAAGAGGAGCTGTGAAAGAGGAAAGGGAGAGGCTGCCCAAACTGGCCTCTTGTACATGGTAGCGTGAACTGGCCTCCTTCCACACACTTTTCTTCCAGACCAACCTCCAGCTGCACTTTGCTGCTGGTTTGTGGTCATTTCACTGGTTGGGAGTAAGAAAAAAAGTACATATTGGAATAGTAAAACAGTGACAGAGTGAGTAAAGTTGTGCCTAGATTGCCTTTTGAGGGAAAATTGGAAGCTGGTTTCAGGACACGATTCATTCTGGATGGAGCTTTAAAGTGAAAGAGGGCATAATCTTAAGCATGAAGGACCTCATATGCAAAAAGAGATCAGGCAGCTTTATGTACCATGAAGGATCATACTGACTTTTTGCCACATAGGTACTTGTACACCTGGAAAGGCTGTTCAGACCTACAGCTGTTTGCAGAACCTGGAAAATCCTGGCAAACTGTGGCAAGTTGTGCCAGGCTATGGAGGTCAAAGGAGACTTAGAAGTGAAAACAGGACCATCAGAAGTGGGCAATGCTGGCTACTAAACTGTGGTTGGTCTGGATAAAAGATATCAGAGAAAAAATGTGGGAAAAAAGTTGAGTACCTGCACGTATTAATTTTGAAATATCTCTGTGACACATGAAGAAGCTTTGCCCCAGTCCAAAAAAAGCCACATCTAGGAAGTGACTTCTGTAATAACTTATTTCTTTATAACCCAGCTGGCAAAAGCTGGCAGTGATGGTTCTTCAATTTGGAAAAAAACTATCATCTACAGTAAATGTAGCAATCTCTTTCCTGATACAGATAGATTTGGCCTACAGCCTTTTTATATAATGTAAAGCGACAAGTCTTCTGAGTTGTTGCAAAGTTGTTGCAAAAAACCCCAACAACTCATCTGCCAGTAAATTTCTGAGGTGGAGTAACTGTTATTGCACACATAAGCCTTTTAAAAAATAAAAAAGAGGAAGAATTTAACAGAATCCCAAAACTAGCAGAAACTATTAAAAAACCTACTACCTACAAATACAGATGCCCTAGAATAGATATCAATTACGTGCTTTTTATAATTCCTAGTATTAATTATTATTTTTGCTTCCATTAACATCAATGGCTTTTCCAATTATTTTTCTTTACCTCATTTGAAGAAAATATTTATGGCTGCTACATTCAGAAATACCAAAAGGACAGCTATTTCTAAAGGACATTTATTAGAATTATATCATAGAGTTGGGCTGATGGAATGATTCTTGCCAGAAGAGCAATTTCCTGAGGTGTAATAAAACCAGTATTGCTTAATATTAAAGCTTAGTGCTTTGGATTCATGAGTAGCCTAGTAAGGTTATTGGATACAACCACAACAATAGACATTAATATCTTGTGTGAAGAAGCATATATTTTTTTTTTAATGCCAATGAAAATAAAACAGAGAATCCAGTCTACAGTCTTCCTCTCCTGATGGTCAACAGCAAAGTCAATTGCACCTCTGTCTGAAACTACACTTGCCAGCAAAGCATCATGCATTTATAAACTGGAAATATTTTTCACCGTATTTGAAACTTCTAGTTTCGAATAACATAATGACATAATGAATAGCACTGTGACAGGAGAAAGGACACACTGTCCCTTGGCAGAGATCTGGGCAATTTTACATACAATTTGCTTAATGGGGGGAGAAATATCCCAGTCTATTCAAGAAAATCAGGGTTTTACATTTTTATACTTGATGTACAACAGCATATGACTTGACTGTTCTTCCTTCAGTCCATTAAGTGACATAAGGTAACCATTAAAAAGCACTCCGTGTCTCCAAACCACTCCCCATGTTGTCTAGCAGCAATGCTTGCAGGACATGAACACTGTCCTGAGCTTCCCTGCAAGAGCCCTGAAGAGTTAGGAGCAGTGCCTGAGACATTTTTGAATCTGCTTAGTGCTGAGTATGTACAGTCCTAGTGACCCTGCCTACGAGTTTGTAGCAGACTGATTAACAGCACAGCACAGTTCTCTTACAGAAGATGCTGCTCAGCTCCAGACAGTGATTTTTATTATCATCCCCACCGTTTCACAGTCAACAGACCAATGCAGATATATTGCTATTTTGGACCAACTACTGCCTTCACAGCCAGATGCACTAGGAGAAACCCAGAAATATTCCATTACTCATTTCAGAAATAGTATTCATTAGATGTGTTTCAAACGAGAGCAGCCATTAGACCTTCGTTTTTCTTATGAAGCTACGTTTGTAATATTTTCCTGATTAGGTGATATTTTTTGTGAAGTACATACCAAATAGCTCAAAAAATCTCTTTCTTCCCCTCGCTATTCACAAGACAAACTATTGGTTGAGCCCACCCAAAACATCACTATTGTTGTAAAGCTCATACTTAACCATTTCTATTTACCATTTCTGCTGGTACATAGAGATATCATCAGTGAGGTTAGGGGACGTGCATCTGCACATACCTTCTATCTGTAGGATACAGCTCCACAGTAATGACATCTAGAGAGTTCCACGCTGAGATGGTGAGGCCATTGTAGAGGCACAGCATACCTATCATCATGGATTCACTGGTCCCAAACCACAGGAAAAAACAGCTGATGCCAGAGAGAACCATGGAACCACCTAGGTACAAGACAGGTGAAATGAACATTAAGTGGAGCTGTATTTAAAGAATGGTCTTTGTTTTGTCTAATGATTCTATTTATAGTGTAACTGACCCACATATTTGAGTTAAAAACTAAAGAGACCCCTTCTGCTGGTAAGACCAGTCAGGCAGGCAAGCATTGTAAGGGGCTCATGAAAAAAAACCATAACTCCTCAAATATTAGGATGTATCATAAAGTATTAAGCTGGGATCCTGTCTGAACTCTCAAAGCAAGCTTCCTGGGGAAAACTACTCCCATTCTTCCTTGTTCATCTTCATATGCAATTACATTAAACTTTTTCATATATTGCAGCAATAAAAAAGCTAAGAATTGCATTTATATAGAGATATTCTCCTAGAAAATGAACACAATGAACTACCACATAGTTATTTAAGTAAATTGAAAACAGATTTGTTATTGCAGATAATCCACAGGAGATATCTTTCAACTGCGTTACTTTGCAAAATGGATAACAGGCAAAGGACTGCTGATCCTTCTGAGGAGCTGCTCCACTAGCTGTGGGTCACCTGCGTACATCTCACTTTCTTTTCTGCTGGACCAAAGACAAGCCAATGGTCAGCACTCTCCAAAATCTCATCTCAGATGCCTAAATGCCTATTGGTCTCATAACATTAGCACGGAAGAGCAATGACTGATGATGTGATGTAGCAGAATGAGTTACAGAACCCTTTGTTTCTAAACTGGGGGCTTTTTAAAACTGCATTTATAATATTGCATAAATTAAGTATCTGCAGAAGAATTTTTGCATCTTTCTGAACCAAATCCTTTAAAAAGAAAACATGTTACTTTATCGAGAGAGCTTTAAACGTTGGTGTTGTTCCCCGTTTTAAAGTGAAGCCTCTACCTAGCATAGTTAACCGTCCAATTCTATCCATCAGGAGAGCGGACACAATATTCCCTGGTAACACTGCCAATGTTCCCAGGAAATTAACAAAGTAGATCCAGTAGGCACTGTAGTCATCATCAAAAGAAATCTGGCATCCTGTTCTGATATGGAAAAATGTGCAATTTATCAATTCGCTGTCAACAAATTTATATTGCTCGAGATCTATGGAAAGAAGAAAAAGAAACATTTCATGTAACAGCCAACTCCATGTGCGGATTTTGATTAAAAACATTTTAAGTTTGGGCAACTTTAATGACAACTCAAAGCTTTCACTGCTTCATAAAATAGAATTAGTTATTGCTGTTAATTTTGATACCTTTTTATCTTAATACAAAAGTACACAAAGGTCATGAAAAAGAGCAAATAAGGCCTGGAATTAGGCAAGTTATATTAATGTATTTCAGCTTTGCTTGGGCTGTGTTTGGTTAAGGCCTCTCAGCACCGGCTGGTCTTGCATAAAAAGCACTGGGTGTCTGCAAGTTTCTGTCACTTGGTCTTGCTTGGTATAAGACCTATTTCCACACCAGGCACCCTTTTAGATAAGACTGCTGGTCCTGTTCAGTGTAATTTGACTTCTTTTAAAGGAAAATGTTTCTACCGAATTCAGATTAAACTAATTTTCATTTCTCTTTTCAGTCTTCAACTTGAACACGGATGAGTTACTGCATGCAACCGTTGAGGCCTTTCTTCTTTGAATAACATGTTGGAGATCTCTCCTTATACTTCCACTTTCTTTCTGTTCCTCATGGCAGTCTTATAACCTGGAATCAAGAACACCTGCCTTCCAGGCAGAGAAGGCTGGGCATTGCTTGCTCTGAAACCTAACTGTATTACTGTTATGTTCACCGGGGTTACAGGAAAGCAGTAAGAAGGGCCCCATCTTTTAAAAAAGCTTAGTTGGCCATGTTCTACTTTCAGTCACATTTTATTAAACTGAAAAAAAAATGAGTCGTCTGTTTCTGTTGAAACATATGAAAATATGCATTCCTGTTTTTGATAGAACACTTCAGGGACTGGAAATGATTACAGATTAGGTAGTTTGAATCCTGAACTCAGATTCCCATGCCACAACAAGCACAATGAAAAAAGTATTTCACTACTCCGATTCTGACTAAGTTAAAGCTACCAGTAAAGCAATAAATATATTTTCTCTTCTACAGACTGAATCTCTTTAGAGATGATTAAAATCAGAGAGATGTTTATTATCTGAGTAAATATTAAACCTGCAATATTTCTAGTGGGGGTGTGATCCTTTCACTTTTCTGTTATAACATTACTGAGGCCTGTTGCTTTTAATAAGTTTTAATTCCCTACAAGAGGGATTCTTGTATGCCTTGTTAAAAATACAGAAGATACATAAGATGAGAATACGCAGATGAACAATGGATGTTCAAGGTCTTTCTCTTGCAATACCTGTGTTGTAGAAGGTGGTATTCATGAAAGTGCAGTTTCTGAAGTATGTGTTCAGTGAAGTAATGTCTTCAAACACACAGTTCTTAAAAAGGGAATCTTCAAAGGTTACTGATTTAAACTTCATCATAACAAACCTGCCCAACACAAATATTTTCTGTCAGTCTACTTTCACAGGTTAGAAAGAGTAACAGGTCAAGCTGATGCAGCTACACAGGTCTAAAAAATCTCAACCCTAGAAGCAGTGACTCCTTAAAGACATTCTTGAGTCATATCTAACAATTAGCTGATTCCAGAGTACTATAATTCAGAAAAAACATTAGTAAGACAAATAGCTCTGCACAGCTACTGGCCACAACCAGTAATATGATTTCTTTGGTAATATTTCAGTTATTACTTGTCCTTAATCATCAACTAAAGCCAATGTCATGACATTCATGGAATAGCCTTGTAAAATCACTGTTACTTGTAATTTAACATTGCAGTCAGAAATTGGGAGCTCAGGCTTCAGGAATTCAGTCTGTTGGAACAAACAAGCACCTGCTGGTACCAACAAGCTGTAAAGAAAGAATTTCTGAAGGAACCTTTATTTCTCCAGATGAACACACTGGGCACTGTGTCAGGCTCAAATTCAAAACATACTGGTCCAAGTGTTTTAAAGTGTTTTCACAAAACGGTTTAGCACGAATACATTTCCGTTGGCACTTATACAGCTAGGTATCTAACCAGATGTACGTGTTTGTTACTCCCATGTCTGTAGATGTAACTGCAAGTTCTGTGTACAGAAAACAGGTACAAACAAATTGTCAATAGCCTTCCTTATTTCTGAACATCCTCCTTCCTACTGCCTCTCATTTAAGTCCTAGGCCTTTGATCATGACTGTCAATCAGGTCATTCACCGAAAAAGTCAAGGACAAAGTGTATTACTAGCGGTAACTTCATACCTCAACATTACTACACTAAAACAATGCTAAAAGGCTTTTTTACTATACCACCTAATATCATTAAGCTAACAAAAAAAAAAAAAAAAGACAGATGTAGCAATACATCATTATTTTGATGATGTATTTTCTTTCACATGAAAGGGTGGGAAGAGATACAGCTAAAAAAGGAGAGTTTTGCTGTCAGGCTTCACCCAAAGTGGCAACACTTTGAAAAACAGTGCTTTAATTGTTATATGGCAGTAAGAACTGTTAAAAAGGCAAAGCCTTCTGAACACAGACCTGGCTCTGCTCCTATTAAACCTGGCGTAAGCAGCTAAGTATTTTTCTTATTACAAGACTAATAGTAGGAAGGGGAACACACAAAATATGCCAGCTATGAAACAGTAGAGATTATACTCTTTCACCAATAAAGTTGTTGAAATCACATCTTTGTGAGAAAGGAGAGGAAAAGCTAATTGTATCTGCCAAAGGAAAAGACTTATTAGCTAATTAATTCTTTTTGTGCATCAGTCAGAAGACGGGTGTTTTCAGTCCATTAGTTTTAGCTGCTATATCATTTCTCATTTGTGACAGATTCTGATTAAAATCAGGCTGCCATTCTGTATCAACTCCTTATCATTTTACATATTGCACTTTCTGTTTTAAAATGTAGCCTAATTCTAGAGGAGAATAAAGAGAATTTAGCAATTAGATTAGTCATTTGGAACAGAAATGACAGACTATGTGTCCCACATTCTCTTGATGCACTTTTTACCTTTGGACAAGAAATATGTTTTGACTATATTAAAACTGGTATTGCGATGACTGGAACTAAAACCCAACAGAGATGTAATGAAGTAAAATGTCAAGTATTAATGGATCTTGAAGTTAAGAAAGAACATGAAGGAAACACTGGTTTGAGTGGTGTATTGAATAGTTTGTGGAGGAAGAACATCAAATGACTTCATACTTTATGGAAAATGTTTTGTTAATCTCAAATATGTGTTAGAGGCCTGCTGAAATTGCACATTTGAAAGAGTAAGTTAGTGCTTTAGAGTAGATTAATGTTAGATTTAGTGTTTTACAAGAATTATCTATTCAAATTGATAAGACCTCGGTTGACAGAGTGCTGTCGATTACTGACAGTAAAAGGTACTTTTTTTTTTTTTAGGAGAATATCTACCTCTGGAAGGAGCAAAACTGGGAAGCTATGGCTAGTTTAATAATGAGATAACTGCTTATTTTTGTCTGCAATGCATAAACCTTTAGCTGTGTCGAAACTCAAGTTCTTACAAAAATTATTAAAAAGCCCTTTATGATCAAAATAATTAATTTTATGCACTTAGATACAAATTTTCCTATGGAAATAATAATTAATTAGCACCATGACATCCAGGAGACCATTCACATGGTTGCTCTCTATATTTCTTCAGAGAAACAAGATATGTAAACCAGTTATGTTTAATTTTCCCCTAAGTTATCTAGTTATCTGTAAAGTCCAGACAGAGCATTAATATGTTTGGAGTCAGTAAAAAGGCACAAATGGCATTGCCAACGTGTTTTTTCCCATTTTAGAGCTCTCCATAATTTTTACTGATTTACAGTAATGTTTAGCTTTTATTTTTCTGTGATAAGATCCTAACCTCTCAATGCTCAACATTTTCACAGAACTGTATTTTTTTCAATATAAGAAAAGAACCAACAACAGAGATGAAAGTGCATCCTTCCCCATCCCTCTACAATATGCCGCATATGTTGGGTCTGGAAATCTTTGAAACCTGCTGTGAAAGGAAGTATTGTTAACTTATGCTTTTTGATCTGTTTTTCAGGAGGGCAAGAAGGCTGGGTTTGCATAGGGGATCCTCGCACAGGAACCACCAGGGTATGTACGGGTCCACTCCTCCGCATGCTCCATGAGTCATAAGAAATCAAGAACTCAAATAAATTCCCACTAAAAAGTATCAAAATAATCTATCATTAGGTAATGGAGAAAAGTATTAGATTATTAGGTTATTCCTTAAAACAGGCATTTGTTTATTTCAGCCAAGTCAGGATATTAGGAAGTCTCTAAACCTGTCATTGATGTATTCTCCATTGCTGTGAATCTGATTTTCCAGGGTGAAGTTGAAGATGAAATGTGAAACCTCCTCATTGCGGAAATGTTTCACTCGGGATGCGTACTCATCTGACTGCAGATGTTTAATGACATCAGGAAACCAGACAGATAAGCCATAGTAGCTGTGAAAAACAAAAAAAGTTCAGTTGCCAATCTCACTTGTTTGGAAATCTGTGCAAGGTGAGGATGAAAAACTCTGTTGGCCACTTAGGTGATGGAGCAGTTGCTCCATCATAATCAAATCCTCCATCAAATAAAAATATTGTAAGATGCTGACTCCAGAAGATGACAGTTTTCTGAAGCAGTTATTCTTGATGAGTCAGGCTTGCAACCAAAAACAGACTAAGTGATAAATATAATGTTTTGTGGAAAGATACTGAATAAAACCTTCCCAAATAAAAAAGATAATCATAGTGACAGACATTTGCATGCATAAGATTCTTCTGTCTGTCAAGTCTATTAAAAATGGTTTAAGGTCTCAACCACTCTTACCCAAAAGACAGGGTGAACCATACAGCTGTAAGTTTGATTGTATTATCCTTCACTGGGTAGTTGAAGCATCTCATAAACGTCAACCAAATCTGTAAATCGTTAGGAAATACATTTATTTTAAATTGTATTTGGACAATTTTGTTAAATGATAGAATCTTTTTGATTGTGATTTGCTTGCTTCTTCAGGACATCAGACAGAGCAAGTCAGCTCTTTGACACTGGTCATAGCTGTACTTCTCATACAAGTATGCATGTTCTGTCACTTTTCTGATTCTTTTCATAGAGAATGGATTGGAAGGGACTTTTAAAGATCATCTAGTGCAAGCCTCCTGTGATGGGCAGGGACATCTTCCACTGGATCAGGTCTCTCAAAGCCCCATCCAACCTGACCTTGAACACTACCATGCATGGACCATCCACAGCTTCTCTGGGCAACCTGTTCCAGTGTCTAACCACCCTCATCATAAAAAAATTCTTCCTAATGTCTGACCTAAATCTACCCTTTTTCAGTTTAAAACCATTGCCTCTTCTTCTATCGCTACAGGCCTTGGTAAAAAGTCTCCCTGCACCTTTCTTATACATCCCTTTCATATACTGAAAGGCTGCATCAAGGTTTGCCTGGAGCCATATCTTCTCCAGGCTGAACAACCCCAACTCTTAGCCTTTCTTCATAGGAGAGGTGCTCCAGCCCTCTGACTATCTTTGTGGCCCTCCTCTGAACTCACTCCAACAGGTCCATATCTCTCCTGTGCTGAGGACTCCAGACCTGGATGCTGTACTCCAGGTGGGGTCTCACCAGAGTTGGATCGAGGGGAGGAATCACCTCCCTCAACCTGCTGGTCACACTTCTTTTTATGCAGCCCAGAATATGGTTGGCTTTCTGGGCTGCAAGGACACATTGCCAGGTCATATTAATTTTTTTATCCACCAGTGTAGTCTGTGTCCATTAATTAACTTCTTCTCTGATCACCTCAAACTTTCCTAATCTCTGGGACTCAGATAAACAAGAGGTCTTGTCAGGAATGTTTTCTTCTCTCTTCTCAGTATTACAGTGCTTTAAGTTTAAACAAACTGTATTCCATAATTCAACAGACACACTCAGAGTCTGATCTGTCATAACCTATCACAGCTAGAAACTGGTACTTTTATTACACAAGGGAAAGCTGAGACTATCCCCAGGTCAGAGATGCTACAGCAGAGCTGACTAGAATGGTGTTTCTCTCTCTCTCTCTCTGTCTCTGTCTCTCTCTCTCTCTCATCTCAAGACGATCTCCTCCTTTTGAAGAGAAGAGTCAGTCTGTCCCAGGAAATTTCAGCACACACCATGCAACAAGGAGGATGACCCAGTGGCTAGTCTGGTGAGATAACAAGGATGTGAGACAACCAAGCCATGACTTCTTTAAAGCTAGTTTAGTAACAAGGCCAAATCATAACATTTCAAATTCAACTGCTCTATTTTTGGATAAATAACTATGAAAGTAGACACTTTCTGTATTTTTGTTTTACATGGGGAAAAAGGCCATTTTTCCATGTAAAGCAATTTTATGACAAACCTTACTTTACAACACTTTAGGAGCTTTAGGATGCCAGATTTTCAAAAGCTGTGAAAAGTTATTTTTGACATTTTTAGTGTTGGTTTTTTTTAATTAATGAGACTTTTCTCAATTTTCATTACAAGGTTCAAAGACACTGCATAATTTGGTTTTACAAAAAAGTAAAAAAGGATATGGAGCACAGTGCCAGTGAACTTGTATTGAACTCTCTGAAATAGCTCTAAAGTAATCTTCTGGTAAAACATTTGACATGACGAAAAAACCTGCAGATACGATGCCTTATAAAGTTTTTACTAGCATTCATTTACACAATTTATTCATGACTTTACCATTTGTAAGTAATGTGGCTGCCTCAAGCTCCTGCTGATAATTTTTCATCTCCTCGCATGTCACCTCTCTCCATAGGTATATATTAATGTGCATTCCCAGTGCATATTATATTGTAGTGCTTGGGAATATGGCTGTGTAACTATTAGCCATCATTTGTGTGAAGATCAGAGCAACATTTTCCTCCTCAGAAGTTGGAAACAACTTCTGTGGTTCACCTGCGCCTCTTCTAGGTCAGGAAACTAGAACCTTACACTGGTTCCCAGATGTCCCAGTTGCATGGAAAAGGTAACATTGCAGCTATCGTCAGCATGAGCTCAATCAAACCATCTCATTTCTGAAGGCTAATTAAAAATAAGAAAGGTAATTACAGAACAAATAGAGTTGTTGTTACTTACACCATATAGCTCTGTGCGAATTCTAACAAAACACCTCCTGTACCAAGTTCCTGTATCGCTCTGTATTTCTATGAGCTCATCTATCTGCTTTGGAGTTTTGATTCTGTTAACCTATAAATAAAAACAGAACAGCAAACATTTACATTTTCTTGAATCACTGTCTGCCTATCAAGGAATACTGGAAGGTTTTAATAAATCCCATGAACTAAAAAGGAGCAGATCTTAAACCTGTGTCTGCACTTGGAATGCTTTGGAAATATAAAGAATAGTAACACACTATTATGCCAGAGATCGTTACAGATGCAACTGTTTTGGAAAAGCTCTGCTTTCAGAGCATGCAGGAAATCCATTTCCTCTGACTGAAACAAGCTGTTACTGTCAGATTTTGCTGGAGTGTTGCCGTACATACCTCTAATGCCACAAAGGATAAAACATGATTTAAACCCCCAGTTAAGCAGGTCCAGGGTTTGCTGTCAAGTTGTTTCTGACTTGCTATCACAACATTGTTGAAAGTCTATTGATTAAACATACAGTAATGAAAACAGAAGTATTTGAAATGTCAAGAGTTAATAGCTGAATAACATTTTTCTTGTGTTCTTATTTCCTGTGGTATACAGGGAACTCTTTTGTCTTTCAGATGTTGACTTTAACTGTACTTTGTACTGTAAGAGAAAAATAGTTAGTTGAAATTATCTGGAACCACACGTTATTGCTGTTACAAACATTCATCTACTTCATCTAAAGTGAAATGAGATAAATAGACACTAGGGAAAAGTATAGAATTATCAGTGACAGGGAATATGATATTGTCTACAATGCTAATTTTCACTTGCACTCTCCTGTGTAGCAGAACAAGAATGTGTTATATGGTCTTTTCAGCCATAGGACATGACAAATTCATACCATTGTGTAGTTTTGGTTTTGGCTTCTACTCTGGTCCCAGGTTTGTAGCAATATCACAAAAGGCAGTGTATTCAACTGAAGTGTATTTAAATAGAAGACAAATGGAAAGAGAATGGAAATAAAATAAATAAAATGAGGGAAGACACTGGCTTATAAGGAGGGAGATAGCAACAGACTGAGTGTTCAATGTTTGGCTGCAGTTTCTGAAGGCAAGAATAGCTTGTGTTTCTTCCTAACAGAATGAGGACACCACCACCCACAGATCTATTATAAGGGATTACAGGACACCAGGGAATAGCAGTATTGATGGTGAAGATCTAGTTTTCAGCTCCCTGCTTTTACACATGTACACTGTTTAGGATGCAGCAGCAACCTCATCCCATGGACAAAAACAAACAAAAGCCCACTAAGTGGTTTCTGTAATCACCTTAATTTCTGAAATGCTGCAGCTCTTGCCAAATGATGACTCTATCAAAACTCTGTACTCTTCTTGTCATGCTTTTTCCAACAACAATAATCCTGTCTGCATAATTCTGTTGATTTTAAGATTTTTTTTAAACTGGTCTTATGAAACATTTTATACAAAAGACCGAGTTGAATCCCCCAAGATTGAGACCTCCTACCAACAAACATCCTTGTGTGCCACACCTCTGGACAGAAAGGTCATGCCTTTTGAACCACACTAGTATAACTCTTGTAGGCTCAGGGGCAGCCTTTTCACTGTCCTGCCCACCTGACTTCTTTGGAGCTGTGGAGGCTGGAGGAAACACACAGGAACCCCTGTATGTGACTGAGGACAAACTGCACCTGGCCTTGATGGTTTTTTAACATAAGTCCATTTGAATTAGGACAATGGTCCACGTGGACCATGCAAATTCAGCTGTCAGTATATGAAAAATGAAAGAAAAAATGATAAAGAATACCTATTTCAATGAAAAGGGAACTTCTGTTTAAAAGCAATGGCTAGAAAGATGTGATGCTATAAATTTTAGAAAATCAAGACACGCTGCAAAGGAAAATGTTTGCAGAAAAATGACTAATTAATACATGGCAATGAAAGAGTGGAGAGAACTTTGGTTTTAGAGATGCAAAGATTTTCTTATTTAAACATTTAAACCAACCTATTTAGTGAATGCATATTTTAAGGACATGGGAAGGTAACTAAACATATACATAAACATTTAACTTGGGTAGTATCAACTTATTACTATCTCTCTTAGTGTCACTGCTCTCAGGAGAGATTTTCGAAAGTATTAAGAGCCACCACCTCCATAAATTCCATGGTCAGTAGCTGGTAAACGTCTATTTTTGAGTTTCTAATTCTAAAAAGAACTGTTCATCAGTTGATGCCTTCTCTGTTCTAAAGGTATGAAGATAAAATTCTCAGTAATATGAGTAACAAGAATAAACATGACTTGTGAAGAAAGCATCTAGGAAAAGATGACATCAATATAATTAGGAAAACATATAAAATGAAAGCATGCTAAAACTATAGCAGTAGTGGAGAAAATGTTACAACAGCTGTAGAGCTAGAAAGCTTACTGTCAAACTGTATATGATGTAACAAGTGACATGAAGTGAAGGAAAATATTGATGCATAAGTCATAGAATGGTAGTGGATGAAGCAATAGGGCTTACGAGAGCTGTGTGAATAGGTTACAAATGTCACAACATCCAGGACTAGCATATATTAAAAAAAAAAAGAGAGAGAGAGAAACTAAAAGGATGTCCCAAACAGATTATGTGTAAGTTCTTTGCTCTCTTGGTTTTATAAGATGAAGTGCTAATATTGTCCAATGAGGAGACAATGATGTATTTTCTAATCATATTAATGCAAGCTACAGTTAGGGGCTTCTATCAATGTGTAACCTCAACATACTGTACAGTATTTCTAATCCTTCAACTCCTTGATATCAGGAGTTGAGTTTTTCCAATGTTCATGGCAGAAACTGGCAAAAATCCCAAGAGAGTGGTGGTTTTTCCTTACTCGTGCCTTATTCATGGCTGACCAATTAACAAAATAGCTATAAATAAACTGCTGAGTTTGACACAGTTCAGTGCCACATTTTAAGAACCATAGAGAGAAAGACTCGTTAGATTACAAGAACTGGAAATAACAAGCATGTGCTTTGTTTTCTTCTCCACGGCTCCTTTGGGATGTGATTATGATTACGTCAAACTGATGCAAGACTGTAGCTGATCCTTCCTCCCACCTTTGCCTCAGCACATTTTTCCCTTCTTCCTCATGTCTAAACTAACACTGTACGGGGACAGGGTCTGTGCTATGGCTGACTGTGCAGTTAGTAAATGAACATCAATGCTGGCAGAAGAAAAACAAGAAGTGATCAGGGGCAGGCATACTCTGTCTGAAAGGAGCTCAGATCAGCAAGAACCAATTGTGAAATTACATCCTGGCTGTGCAGTGTTAGGCAAATCCCTTTACTTGTAAATGAAATCAGAAAATAAATTATTAGGGTAGAGGAGATCAGGCGTACATCACCAGTGTATCAATACATGTGGGTTTGAGATGATAGATATGCTAACCAGTCTTCTTTCAGGCTAAATATAGGAGTTCTTGAGCTTCTTTGTGGAAAAAAATTAAATGAAGGCAACAGAAACTGCATCCAAGGCAATAAACTGCAAGTCTCAATGGAATAAAGTTATATGGTCAGAAGGTCATTCCTCAAGACTTCCTGTAAATGCAGAACCTTTAAGAGGATTTCTTAATTGAGTTATATGTTCATTAAAATAAGAAGAAAGCCTCTGAAAGAGCAAAAGCATGGCTGTGAGAGGGAGCAGAATGCCAGCACTGCTATGGCACAACACAGGGCTGGAAAGGCAGACTGGATTTCAAAGCAAGAAAATGGCTTCTGCTGTTTGTTCCTACTGTGTCAAGGAAGACAAAATTGTTGTGGATATTCTTCACAAATAAGGAAGATACTGTAGAAAAAAGCTCCACATCTGAACTGCAAATTTCTCCACCAAAAAGAAACAACCCATCAATGCTTTGAATATGGCCTTATTCTTAGACCTGTAAGTCAACAAGATGCAGTTGTGCTTACAAGATATTTTGAGAAAATGGAATGTCTGAAATTACTATTTCACAGAAATGAAAAAATATTTTTAATTACTATTTTAGCTGAAAAAACAAAAAAACCTCAAAAACTTTAAAGACACAACAGCCAACTAATGTGGACTTTTACTATGTGATTACTGTTACTGTTAATGGTGAAGTAAACTTAGTAACTAAAACACAGGTGGAGTCTATTAAGTATGCTGATACACCAGAGAAAATTATCACACCAGGGGTTCATTCACTCAAGAACACGCTGGCTAAAGGCTGATATCTTAACATCTGCTGTATATAAAAATTTCAGTAGGAATTCAGTCTTTATATTAGATATTTAGAGTGCAAATGATTGGCTTTGTCATGTAGATTATCAATATTGATTGCTTAAGCACTCCAGACCTTGCCAGTCAGCAAACTGGCTGTTGTGCTAAGCGATTAGCTTCAAAATAGATACTCACAGTGAAGACTTTCTCAGGCTGACCACGAGCTCTCATATTTGTGTCGTGAATTTGCTTGAGTATCATCCAAGCTTCATCATGTTTTCCAACCTAAACGTTTGATCAAAACATTTAAACAAAACATACATTCAGATTAAGATATTCACTATAGCCACTGAACAATCGTAATGCCTGTTAAACAGACATTATGATGTAAACACAGAAATAATTTTGACTGGAATCTAAAAAACATTTGGAAAGTTATACCTCCAGCAAGAACCGTGGGCTTTCTGGCATAAAGGTGAGGGCTACCACAGAAGAGACACAGGGCAGAGCGCAGACAATCACAAATACTCGCCAGCTGTGGAACTGGTAGGCAGAGCCCATGCTAAAACTCCATCCTGTGAAAGAAGAAATTAACAAAATATAGAGAAACTAGGAGCACTGCATGTGGGAGTCTGCAGCTTCTTGGAGATGCAAAACGATAGCTATATTTAAATAAAACCTGTCTGATGTCTTCTATTTCCACAAATATCAATGGTTTCACAAATAATATTATGGTATGAATTTCAACCTCTTGCATGTGACCAGTCATGCTGGAAAATCGTGGAATCATAGAATCATTTAGTTTGGAAAAGACCTTTAAGATCACTGAGTCCAACTGTAAACCTAATACTGACAAGTCCACGATTAAACCATGGCCCTAAGTACCACATCTAAATGTATTTTAAATAACTACAGGGATGGTGACTCAACAGCTTCCCTGAGCAGCCTCTTCCAATCCTGGAGAACCTTTTCAGTGAAGAAATTTTTCCTAATATCCAATCTAAACCTCCCCTAGCACAGCTTGAGGACATTTCCTCTCATCCTATCACTTGTTACTTGGGAAAAGAGACTGACACCTACCTCGCTATAAGCTCCTTTTGGGTAGTTGTAGAGAGTGATAAGGTCTCCCCACAGCCTCCTTTTCTCTAGACTAAACAACACAGTTCCATCAGCTGCTCCTCATAAGACTTGTTCTCTAGGCCCTTCACCAGCTTTGTTGCTCTTCTTTGGACACACTCCAGCACCTCAATGTCCTTCTTGAGGTGAGGGGCCCAAAACTGAACACAGGATTCAAGGTGCGGCCTCACCAGTGCCGAGTACAGGGGCACAATCACTTCCCTAGTCCTGCTGGCCACACTATTTCTGATGCGGGCCAGGATGCCGTTGGCCTTCTTGGCTACCTGGGCACACTGCTGGCTCATGTTCAGCCGGCTGTTGACCAGCACCCACAGGTCCTTTTTCCGCCAGGCAGGTTTCCAGCCACTCTCCCCCAAGCCTGTCACGTTGCACAGGGTTGTTGTGGCCCAAGTGCAGAATCTGGCACTTGGCCTTGTTGAACTTAATACAGTTGGCTTCAGCCCATCGAAGCAGCCTGTCCAGATCCCCCTGTAAAGCCTTCCTACCCTCCAGCAGATCCTCCTGAACTTGGTGTCACCTGGAAACTTACTGAGGGTGTACTTGGTCTCCTTGTCCAGATCATCAATAAAGGCATTAAACAGAACTGGCCCCAGTACTGAGCCCTAAAGAACACCACTTGTGACCAGCTGCCAACTGGATTTAACATGATTCACCACAGCTCTTTGGGCCTGGCCATCCAGACAGTTTTTCACCCAGCAAAGAGTACACCCATCCAAGCCATGAGCAGCCAGTTTCTCCAAGAGAATGCTGTGGGAAATGGTGTCAAAGTCTTTACTGAAGTCCAGGTAAACAATGTCCACAGCCTTTCCCTTGTCCACTAGGTAGGTCATCTTGTCAAAGGAGGATATCAGGTTAGTCAAGCAGGACCTGCCTTTCATAAATTCATGCTGACTGGACCTGATCACCTGGTTGTCCTGTACATGCCACGTGATGGCACTCAGGATAATCTGCTCCATAACCTCCTGCAGCGTGACAGACTTCCTTACACAAGAGATGAAGGGGCCTCTTTCAAGCCTCTTAGCAAAGCCTGTATAAAGGTAGTTACATGAACCAAACAGGGACACCATCACCATACATTAATACATATACAAAGAAATAGTTTTCTATGATTACTGGAAAAAGGAAGAATTAAAAATCTACACTCAGATGACATATTTTGTGGATTTTTACAGCCTTCCTTGTTATTAGTAACTTTTTCTACAAAGAGTTAATTTCAATACTCTTAGTAAGAGCCTCCTAATGCCATGCAGTGCAACACATAAAGCATTACAGTGCCTAACTTCCATCTTGTTCCAGAGCACTCCTTAAATTCTGTTAAAAGTAAACTCACATCCATACCCCTTGCTCCGTAACATCTCATAGAGGAAAAAATAGTCAGCTTTTAAACTTCTGTCTGAGGTGAGCAACCTTAACAAGGCAGTAAAGAGACAATTTATGATTATATAAAGAGATTGAGAAAAATATCAACAGGAAAACCACTCACCTCATCTGAAAAATTGATCTTGAGATATATGTGAGTGCTGACTCACATAGCAACATGCTGTAGAAGCCATTGTTAAAATATACCGAGCAAAATGCAAAAGGAAATACTGGAAAACCTGTATGTGAATCCGCAGGGCTGGCAGTTCAGCTTTTTAATAAAATGTCTGATTGCTTGGTATATTATAACTGGAATATTGAAATGCTAGAACTGTAAGAAACCTAAGAATTTATTGTAGGAAAGAGAAAAATATTTTTCCGTATCTGACTGGCCTTTTAGACTGACTTCAATACAGCAGAATTTCTCAAGTAAAATTTTCAAGGATAATTTAATAAAAGATGAGTGGAAGATAAGAACAGAGATAAAGGACAGAAATGGTTACTGGAAGAAAATGGAATCCTGGCTAATGAAAGAGGAGACGCTGGATTAATCTCATATATTTCTTTGCTAACTGTTTTTTCTAGACAAAAGACACGGTAAATTAAATCTGTCTGAGATGTTGGTAAACAACTGGTACAACATGGTACCAAACGTACTATTAAATAGTTCTTCAAATGCGGTATTTATCTGTTAAATGTATAGTGTATTTTGGAACTAAAAGCTCTCATGTTGTGGATCATAAATATATTATTGGGAAAAAAAATCCTTTCTCATATTAAAGTACTTACATGTTACCGTATGAAAAATACAGTCAATCTGTAATTTATATCTGCTCTTTGTCAACAGCTCGGTGAAACATTTTGATACGCAGATTTGGGAACTTTTCTTTTTCTGGTCTCCTACAAACTTATTGCGTTTCTGAAATATATCAGCTTACTCTACAGTCTCATTTAGCCCTGCCATCTTTACCCCGGACAGAGGTAAAATTAGTGATAGTATTGGTGTTGACCTTGGTATTTTTTTAAATAAGGCTCCAGATAAACATACCTTCCCCCTCCAAAGTTCCCTTCAACAAAAAAAGGGCTGCCCAAAATTTTATGTTAAATTTTATTCCAAAATACAAGCTGGAATGAAAATTTAAGATTAAAAATAAAAACAAAATAAACAAAAAAGGATGTAAAAGTGTATTAAAAAATTACTTTTTACTGATTTTTAGGAAATGTCAACTTTTAACCTTATGGAATATCAAATCTTGAATAATATGGGCATATTTTACATCTAAATTGGGAAGGAAAGGAGATAAAGAAGGCAAAGTTTATGGTGAGTTAATGAGGAAATTAGAAATGATATCTGTGTTTTGGGTCTTGCATACAAGTTCTATTATAATAATTAGAATCATACTCCTCATTATATATTTCAAACTATAATACAAAATCACCTGATACAGAACTTGCTAAATTATTTCCCTTCTGTTAAGCTAATTTTTGGTTAGAGCCGTGAGCTGGTCTGAGTCACCAGGCAGCCGTGCAACTGTTAGTGCCCTGGCAAAGGTGACACAAGATGGGGGATTTAATCTCTCAGAACAGCACGGTCAACATACTGGCTCCAGTTGTCATCATCAGAAACTGTCCAAGAAATACACAGAGCCACTAGTATATTTAGGCAATATGCCTTTCACCACTCTGGTTTATAAGATTGAGCTGCACAAAGGGCACTTCTGCAGTAAATGAAATCAACCTGGCTTTATACCTGTAACAAAACAAGAGAAACATCTTGTGCTCTGTGACCAGTCCTGGAAAACGATGGTGATAATTTATTTTAAGGTGTCATTTACTAATGTAAGTGAACCATACTATGCTTAATTAAAAGCAATGAGTGCATCGTTCATCCTGCTGTCATTCTGACAACCTGCAAAACATTGTCTTTACTCCTCAAAACATCTGAGGGGCTTGTCATGTGAAATGTTCATTACAGTTTTTATTGCTTTTATTCTGGTTTTTTTTTTCTCTATGTATTGATTAGCTGACACAATTTATCTTGTGTTTTAACACATCTTCTGAAATAATGATAATATCAGGATTATAAGAAGCAATTGGCAGAAAAAAAGACAGCTGCAACACAGCATTCTTGAGACTGCTCACCTGTCTATTCCGACACCAGCACTAGATTGGCAAAACGAATCTATATTTTAAATGCAAGCAAGTTTAGATTTATTCTCATGTTTAACACATGCCATTTTCCTAGGTCATGAGCTAATCTGGGAAACGGAACCATGAGTTTAGTTCACAAACTGACTTTCATTCTTGGTGTATGTAAGTCTTGAAACCAAATGGAAGTGTGCTCTTGGCTATAACTCGATGTTCTTCTCCTTTACCTACAATATCAAAGGCAGAACAGCTCTACATGGATGCATTCAGAGCACTGCACAGCAACCTAGAGGTAAAATTCATCCTTGCTCTGTAGCTATGCTGCATTCCAAAGTCGTTAATCCTGAAAACGGTGGCAAGTCCTAATGTTTTATGAATTGCTAAAACACTTGACCCAGATGCATCTCGGAAATGATTTGCTGTAGAGCAATGTAAAGCCCGCAGTGACTGAATCTGAGGCTGCTGCAGCAACCTTTGTCCTAAATATTACTCTCACACTTTACTGAGTGCTAGAAAAGGCCAAGTGAATCACAGACATAGCGATTACTGATTACAAAAACACAGCAGCACTCAGCAGAGCAAAGGCAAGATGTACCAAGATGCTAATATATATCCAATAACCAATTTATATGCTGAATTCAATGTCAACAAAATCCTCCCCCCAGCACAACATTTCATCTGCTCTATGACATTAATAAATTAAAGGATATTACAAACAATCTATTGCTCCAAAGGAAATAAAATATCATTCCTGTCATAGACTTTCTGAATAAATACAGAGGTAAACCTGTCCATATTATGCTGAATTTTACAAATCTATGTTACTTGAGAAAGACTGGGTATCTTCAAGGACAAGGATTGTCTTTTACAATGACTAGGTGACCAGAGAGCAGACTAATGAGGATGATTTGCTTAACTTTCCAAAATGAGGCCTGAAAGGGAACTTGATAGCTTTCACAGAATCATAGAATCATTAAGGT